TTTATCACTGAACCAAACTGCATTGGTTTCTTTTGCATTTTTTTTAGGGTAAAACGTTATATTATCCCTCAACGTCTAATACTGCAAGAAAAAAACAAATTTTGGTATGTAAACCTGTATGAAGCCATGACGTCATAGCTTTTATGGCGTCATAATTGGGACCCAAAATGGCGCCTGGAAATGAGTCGTCGTAACTTTCCCACAGTCTACTCACTCATGTGCTCATCGTTGTATACCAACTATCGTTGAAAAAATCAATTTACGTCGATTTTTGAACATTTTAAAAGCCGTAGTTCGATTCGGCGCCCAAGAAAAGATATAAATATACACCAAAAACATGGCAATCAATCAAGTTGAAGCGTTTAGGCGAGATGACGTGTTTTTGGTGTACATGAGTAAGCAATAATGCTACCTGACTAAAATACCCCCCCCCCCCCTCTTGCATTCGCATGTAGTCATACATATGAGTCTCAAAATAATATAATATATTGTTAAATTATGCTCTTTAACTCCCCCGCCCCCGCCCCCGCCGCCGCCCCCTGCTCAATGAGTTATTTTACTTTTATTCTGCCATCTAAATAACTCTATACCCATGACTGGTGTACCAAGTTAAATCCACATCAAAACCCCATTTGTCGATAAGTGTATTTATAATAATCACTTGAACATCCTTGGAGAATTATATCTATTTAGTGAATATTAATACCAAAGAAAGAAAACAACTCTAAATTCTGAATATAAAGTCATCAAATTCTTTTACAGATCTTATTGTGGAAACCCAAAAGTTATATGTCACCATTGCCTTTTTAATCACATTTTTGTTTTTAATGTCAAATACCAAACCATCTCTAAAATTGTTTCATTATATAGAATGCAGTGTAATCCTAAACACTAAAGATTTGGCCTGAAAACTTGAAATAATATAGAGGGATCATCAATAATTAATAGTAACATTCGATAATTATAAAAATGTATTATTGTAGGATGAAATCAACCTTTATTTTTAAACATTTAGTGAACATTTCGAATGTTAATGCCTCTTTTATATAAAATGGTTTTATTAATTAATCAATTTTTGTTTTACAGATTTTTAATTTTCTCCATTTTGTTTGATTTTTATGCTATATTTATTTTATCTATCTATAATTATTTGCCTGTGCTTTATCTATTAGTTCCCATTCATATACTGTAGAAAATTTTGAATTCCTAATCTGTTAAAGGGACTATTTTTTCTTAAAAGTATTTCAATTTAGTGCATTATTAATGTCTTTAGTGCTTGGTTTGGTTGATATTAAATTTAGATATATTTAAAATGTATGTTTTGGGACCATGGGGTAGGGATATTGTGAACATATATATTATATTCTCAGTTCTTTTTAAGGTTAATTGTAAAACAAAATTAAATAGCTTTTTTTGATGGGTGGGGGGATATTGTTATTATTGAACACAATTTTATTAGTATTGAAATTAACTTTGTTGATTAATATTCCAAATGTCTCGGTGCTTTATTTTTCAATTTAAATAGCTACTTTTTATTTAATAATTGTTAATGGGGGGGGGGGGGTATTTTTTCATTGTATAACACAATTTTATTAGTATTGGAATTAACTTTGTTTATTAACCTTCGAGATGTCTGTATTGGTATTAATTAGGCATTAATTTATTTTTTCATATCATTTATTGAATAAATAATAATTTAACAAACAAAATTATTATGTCATTTATCAATAATTACAGTTTAAACAGAACGAATGGAAGGGGTTGCATTCGAAAGGTTGCTATACTGGATATAAATTGGTAAAATACAACACAAGTTTTTGTTATACACAAGTTTGTACGAAACAACACGAGTTTCAGAAATTTCAACACAAGTTTCAGAAATTTCAACACAAGTTTCAGAAATTTCAACACAAACAAGTTTCAGAAATTTCAACACAAACAAGTTTCAGAAATTTCAACACAAATAATGTGTAGATTTTCACACAAGTTTTGTGTTGTTTCAACATTTAACACAAGTTTTGTGTTGTTTCAACATTTAACACAAGATTGTGTTGTTAAATAGAGACACCTAACTGTTGTTGAAAATAACACAAGTTTGTGTTGTTTCAACACAAGTTTTTGTTCAGTGTATATCTGAGCGATAACAAACCATACATTAAAGTTTGGTTAAAGGATTTATGATTAAGTCCCGAAGATCTAAATATGAACGTAGTTACCAGCAATCAAGAACTAAACGATCTACGAGTAAAGAAAAAAACAAGCATCAAAAGGGACTGGTATTCCTTAGAAAGAAGGGCAAAAAAATATATTTTCGAAATACTTTTATTTCCGTTGAGGCATGTTTGGTTGGAACGGAGAAAGTGTTTATCCTGGAAAATATTTTAATAAAACTAAAATCCAAATGTGAACGGGTGGGATGTAGATTGACCTTCATTTCGTGGCCATGCGTGTACTATAGTTGGTGTACTCGGCGTTGCACGCGAAGAGTTTTTTCCATTCATAATAACGCAATAACAATCACTTGTGGTTGTTTGCTGTTTCGCTTCGTCTAAATAAATGATGGAATCGGTTATATCAAAATGGCCGGCGAGAATTGAACGTTTTGATAGTTGAATTTCATTAGGGCCTACTTCACATGGAATATAACATATACAAACATGCCTGATTTGACATTATATAATTTCAAATTATACTGTCACCATGGGTCGAAAACTAAATTAAAATGCTATTTAGAAAGAAGATATTAACTTGACAGTATCCCACTGCATAATTCCAAAATGGTCGTCATTAAGTGGTATGAAAAAACTACGCTTGTTTGAGCTTTCAACCTTCACATATCATACACGCTACCAGTATGATACGTAATAATTACTTGGTTGACACGAGCGGTACAAAAAGACCATGCCTACTTGATCTGTAAATGTTAATAATCGCAAATCAAAATTGTTACATCAATATGTTGCACAATAGTGTAAGAAAATAACCCACCTCGTAATCGTATGTGTCTGAACTAAAAGCGGCGTAAAGATTCCGAAAAAACCCTTGAAGTTTAGTTGTTTCTACTTTATATCACGTGTTTAGTTTGAAAAATCGAAATAACTGCATGAGCCACAGGGAAATAACCCTCTTATTTTATTTGGGCAGGTTTTGTTTTTCATTTACATCTTATTTTAGCATCTGTTTACTTTTATGAATATCCCCAAAATATAAGCAGTGTCAACACTTATCCCAGTAATCCCGGTCGTTGACTATAGGTGCTAAACGGCCCCTCTCTTGACAAATGTATAAATTTAACAAATCATCGAGTTAACTATATCAACAAAACACAAAAAACACATACTTATGGAAAAACAGCTACTTATTTATTTGGGCGACGTTTCATTAGCTTGATAACGTTGAGAGAAACGTCGCCCAAATAAATAAGTAGCTGTTTTTCCATAAGTATGTGTTTTTTGTGTATTGCTCTACCCAGTTACTAAATGCCTCTTAAAGATTATATCAACAAAGATAAATCCACACAGTACAACCCTCATACTTACAGTTAAAGGACAATATTGGTGTCCGTCATTATCACATTATGTGATAGAACTGGTTAAACAAATTCCAAATATAATTTTAACACATAGATCATTGCTGCGATTGATTCCTAACGAAGATTTTTTTAAAATAAAAACGGAAATGACGAAGGCAAAAGGAAAACACGAGTTATTCATCTATATAACTGATCACTAAAGTAACCAGCGATAACAGATACACGCGCGAATTTCTGCTCACTAATAATTCCTTCGAAGACCAAAAGTTCTTATATGAGACTGTGAGAGGACATCTGACAATTTATAAAAGGAATTTACTGAAGAAAATAGAAAGCGCCCGTGTATTACCATGTTTTTATTAAGTATAGAATTCATAAAAACAGGGAAATGTACGGGCTATTGATATTCCTATTTTTCTCGTTTTCTCTTGTCTAGTGACATTCAATAATCTTCCTTCCACTGCTAAATACTCCGACGCGCAAATCAATCTGATTAAAATAAAAATCTATATTTCGTTTTGTTTGAAGATCGGGCCGGTTGTAGTGGAAGGTCACGTCAGAGGTCATACGAGCGGCTTTTGACCTTAGACGTCAGACATTTGATTAACTAATCAGCGTTGGTGTTTTTACTGGGTTACCCAGAGTTCCGTGCACCTCATGCCAAAAACTCGCCGTAACAGACCGTTTCATTGGCTAATCCCTTACATCAGCCATAACGCGGGTCAGATCCTAGTTAGTAAAGACAAGTAAAACGAAATTTTGAACCATAAAAAAAAACTAAACGAAAAGGATCTGTGTTTTATTCAGATTGCGCGCAAACGAATTATTGAAATAAAACTGAACCATATGTTAGTCCACAATTGACCTAGTTTGTGTCGAGTGGACGTTACTCCCCCACCCCTAGGTTTTGTACGAATTAAAGACATTAAATTGTTAACACAAATGGTCTAAAATACTAAAGTACGAAGAAGTAAATTAAGTAATTTAAAACTACATATTATAACTTGTTACCCATCTGTCCTGTTGTTAATAGTTGACTAATAATGTTGGCCGAGATAGTTCATCGGGATTTTCCAGAGAGGTTTCTGCTTGCCAGTAGCGTGGGACGGAAAGCACCTAGTCGATTGGATGGGACGAAAAGCCTCGTGTATACCATTTACAGGCAATGACATCACGTTACATATTCCCTGAGGGTTGGAAATCGAAATAAGAGTAGAACGTAACTTCGCTATCTGGGAAAATACAGCCCCACCCTCCCCCACACCCTCCCCCACACCCCACTTCAGTACATACTTCAAACGGTACAACCCATTCATTGCTACTGCATCAAGGGTTCACAAGTGTGGGGGAATATTGTTATTTTGCCTTCATTGTTAACGCTGCTTTAATATTTGCCTATGAAGCTGAGTTACATAACTCAATTACATATTATATAATATATTACATCCTACAAAGGTATAGGTTTAAGGATATGTGTCAATGTTTGTACTGGCAATATTCATGACAAACATATTTATTTATAACAATCCATTCTGGGGTCAACATAGTTTACAAACTGTGTACATTCATATATTCTCACTTAAATAGCCTATAAAAGCAAGAATATTTGAGCAAACTATTTTCTGTGAAGCTTCGTTCGGGGTCGCCTTACGCAGTTAAATTTACCCTCAGTTTGGATAAGGTCATATAAAACATGAAGTTTGATGATATCTTGGAACATCTTGGTGATTTTGGACCATATCAAAAGCGACTTTATTTGTTAGTTTGTTTACCTTCTATAATTATCGCTTGTCAGGTATTACTACCTGTATTTATATTGGATATACCAGCACACAGGTAAGTTTGGTTTGTTTGTTTAATATATTATATATATTCTGGTTCAAATTCATACATCTTTTAACCATCACAGATCCATGAAGTAACCTGGGACCATTAAAATTCATTTTACTTGGCCTTTTTTTTTTCAAAAATTTTAATCGCTGATTGCAATAATTTAATTCAAAAGTCAATACAATCATGCCCTTTCTTTTCACGACAGAGAATTTAAACACTGTTTTAAAGTAACATTTTGATATACAAGAACTTTTTGACGTGTTTACCATAATATTAATTTTATCACTCCTTTATATATAAATAACTAACATTAATTCAATCTGTCCATTATATCGTGTATTGGACGTTAAATTTGTAATAAACAACAAACAACAACATAGCTGTGGTAGAAAGTATAATATATGTTAGATTAAGATGTAGTGTAAAATAATCGAAACTAAACTTGAGATCCAGTTTTTCATCGAAAGACAACAATTATTTGCAGGAAAATATTCATGGACAGTCCTTCTGTCAGGACATTCAGAAGCGGATCATTGCCTAAATTGCCGCAAATCCTTAGTAATGTTATTCATTTATTCATTTATTCAATGTCAGTCTCATATTACTATGTTATTCTAAACAGAACCTTGTGAATCAGATATGCCAGTTTCGTAGGTATGTACTTAGATACATTATGGGAGATTAGATAAAGAGTTGGTAGTTCTCACTATAATAGTTAAAAACTAGATAATGTAAAGGGAATTTGTTGAAAACCCTGAGCAGAGTATTTAGCGATTGAATTTTGGGCCTAGCCTCGACCATCATTACTAAAGTCGGTACGATAAAAAAAAATAGTCTCGATTATCCATTTTTTGATTTAATCAGAAGCAGCAGACCGGGTTCTGAGCCAGTAAATATCGCAGGCTAGCGATGCCATCGAGAGTTGATTATGGCCTGGATAAGTTAATTAATGTCTAATTAATAATCTAGAAAGCATTTCAGGCCTAAAGAAATACCTGCAATAGGCAGATTTAGCTCTTGCATAATGCATGTTTAAGTAACCATAAACATGAACCTGCTAATATCTTAATAAAACTTCTAAATACTTTTAATTATCTCATATTGGACCTTTCTGGCCTCATAGACAATGTTTTTAAGAAATTAAAAAGATTTTTAGCAACCGCAATCTTACCAACTTGGTATCTACACTGTTAAAAATGGGTGTTATTAAAAACTATAAGCAGTGTTAAACATGCATTATGCAAGAGCAAAATCTGCTTATTACAAGTCTTTCTTTAGGCCTGAAATGTTATCTAAATTATCAATTAGACATTAAGTAACTTATCCAGACCATAATAAACTCTCGATGTCAAGGCTAGCCTTCGATGTTGGCTGGATTAGATTCCTATATGCCGCTAACAGGCCGTTGATAATTAAATCAGAAAAAGTGGATAATCGAGACTATGCTGTTTATATTAATGATTTTAGTAATGATGACCGAGACTATGCAAACATTTCACCCGCTTCTTTCTCGGCTCATAGTGGATCAATTTGACTGAAATTTTCAGCAAATTACCTTTACACTATCTAGTTTTTAACTATTATAGCGAGAACTGCCATCTCTTTATCTTATCTCCCATAATGTATCTTTAATTAAGTGAAAACTGTACACCACGGCTAGCGTTTTTTAAATGTAATACTTTCCAAGGGTAACCAACTTAAAGAACTACACCTAACAAGTGTAACCGATATTAATGACTACTGAACACCCGAATAGGTGTAATTGTGGGGTGTTTGGGATAAGCTACACTACTGCCAGTGTTATACTGAATTTACACCAAAGGGTGTAACTTTTATTTGGGAATAAATCATAAAACAGCGTTAATTTTACAGCGTTTATTGCGTTGCAAAGGTGTAATCGATATTCACGAGTACTGAACACCAGAATAGGTGTAATTGTAGCCTCTAAAGGGTGTTTGGGATGAGCTAGCTACCCTTCTACAAGCGTTTTATTGCATTTACACCAACAGGTGTAATTATTTTAGGGAAACATTCCTCCGAATAAGATGTCAATTTTACACCGTATCTTGCTTTAGAAAAGTATTTGTGTACTCCAATTTGAATGTTTTTTTTTGTAAAATATGGCTTTGATTGCACTAGTAATACAACTATAACTCATTTTAGAGTGTTTAGTCATAACGAGTAAAGTATAGGTTATTTTAGCTTGTATACACTTAAAGATGGTTCCCAGAAAAGTATTTATCGGGTGGTTATTTCCAATAAAAGTATGGTAATTTTGGTAATATATGGAAAGTAGAGATATCCAATCTTACTAGAAAAATACTGGATTCCCCGAAAAACACTCATGGAGCATATACAGGACAAAAATGTAAGGGTTCCCCTATTCAACAGCCCGACGATTAGGAATTTCTGAACACGTGATGTCAAAGGTCACACGCGAACATTGAGCGCTTGATGTACAAGTTGATAAACTTTATGAAGAGTTAGACGTACAACACTTTCTGAGAGAAAAATGACACAAAAAGACGCGGGTAGTGGATAATCCTAGAATTTAATTAGGATTCGATATTTGTAATAAATAGTAAGCGATTAAAGACAACATCGTCTTATGTATGCAATGAATTCCCCTCTGACTTCCAAGAGAGGTAAGTCACGTGACGTAAACATGACCTGGTTTGATCGAATTTTTAAAGCAGGATATTCCTTCGCAATTACAATGTTTGAGAAGGATTTGAAGCAAAGTTATGACAAATTAATTAGTTTGAATATGTTTTTAGTCCATATATACCATATATACCATTAAATCACCCAGTTTGTACGCGGGAATCCATCTTTAAAGACGTGTAAATATTCCAAAATATTGTAATTGCGAAGTACAATATCTTCATTAATAATCCTTAATTCAGGTGAGGTGCATAAATGAATAAACCACATTATTTATTTTCCCCCATGATTTATATTCATTGTAAATTGACACAGATTGTCTAATTGCCCAACAGCAGTTGAATTTTAATCAGTCTGACGGGTATTTGTCAATTTAATGTCGTTGTAAAATAAAGCCAAGTAGCCGACGGTCTATGTGTAATCTGGGTCGGGCTAAACGTCCTATACTAATTATCATAGAGACCGATAACCAATTTCAAGTTTTCTGAACTTAAAAGTCGGTGGCTTGAGATAAATATCCAACAAAACAAATTACACCACGCGTTGGCGTAATAATTAAAATGGAAGTGTAATTTACAAACCATCCTTGAGGGGTAATGCTTAATCTACACCCACGGGTCTAACATTACACTGTCTGTGTTCACCAGGCAGGTTACACTACTGGAAGTGGCAACTAGTTTCCACCTGAATTCAGGGGCGGATCCAGGAATTTTTGCAGGGGAAAGGGGGGGGGGGGTGTCATGTTCTCTATCGTCATTTTGGCGTATATACATACACATTGAGCTTTTTAAACAGAGAAATTCAACACCTCGTTTGACGTCAATTTTTATTATGAATTAATACAATGACATTGTGATTCAATTTCATGGATGCAAAGCATTAATTGTGATATCACATAATGTCTATATTATTATCTCGTGCATTGAGTGCCCATCCTGTCCCAAATCTGACGATAACGGATAAAGGACACGGCCGAGAAACCTTTCTCATAAAAAGTGTGGATCCGCCCCTGGAATTGGTGTAATGTTCTACACTAGTAAGGTTTTATCGGTTTACACCACTAAAGGCTATGAGTTACCCCTATTTATGTGGCAACTAGTTTCCACCCGAATTGGTGTAAACTACCTTAATATTTTTAACTGTGTAGCAGAAAGTTAATTGTAACATGTCCCATATCTGTTACTTAATCCTAACGCACTTGGACTTCTAAAGTGAAAATGATTCAAGTTCGAGAAAAAAACCTTTTAATTAACGCCTCACTTTTTCATCTAAAAGCGAAATGAAAAGAGGTTAGTCATTTCAATACCCTTAACCTGTATTGGGCTCGGGTTATGGTAGTAAGGGTGGCATAAACATACTCAATACACAGTTTATATTTGTTATTCACAAGTCTAAGATTTAAGGACCACGCTCACGTTGATGGTATTAGGAGAGAAAGAGAGGGAATGTGGTCGTTTGGGGATTAACATATTTATGGTACAATATTATTCAAATAATTCGCTTGGGCGTAAGTGTCGTTTGCAGTGGGGGAAATCGACGGATCCGGATAAAACCCACGAGGTTAGGTTGGTGGTAGTAGCCGATTAGTAAAAAATATGTCCAGAAGTCTACCAATTCCATTACTTATATATGATTGTTATAATTACAAGTTATTCACGTTCTAAAGTTGTTTTCAAGACGGGGATCACGTGGCTAAGTGGGTAAGACGCTAGCTCGCTAGCCTGGAGGTCGGGTGTTCGATTCCTGCATTGGCCGAGAAGTTCATCCAGATTTCCCGGCGTGGTTCTCCCTTGTCAGTGATGCAGGACGGAGGGGCTGACAAGGAAAGCTGTCTAGTCGTTCGGATGGGACGAAAAACCGAGGTCCCGTGTACACATTGGCGTGCACGTAAAAGATCCCTTGGCAGTTGGAATTCGATATAAGAGTAGGCCGTAGTGCCACTGTCCGGGCGAAATTTCCGTCATAGCACACTGTATGGCGTATGCCCGTCTTCATTAGCCCAGGTTAGGAGCAGAACAGTAGGACGTTAAACCCCATTACATTTCATTTCATTTGTTTTCAAGAAGTTCAGTAAACTCTCGTGCAAATATCTTCAGTCGGGATTGCCAATAATTAAGTGATCATATTCTCGATATAATTTGATATTATATAAAGTTAAAGATACATTATGTAAGAATAAATCTGTCTATTGCAGTTTTTTGTTTGGCCTCAAATGTTATATAAATTATTAATTAGACATTTATTAACATGACAAGACCATAACCAACTCTCTAAAGCATCGGATGCTCGCGATTTTCAATAGCTTGAAATAAAATCGTCATTTAATGATTCATTTAAAA